CCCCCACATATCCCCACCTCCTGGGATTCCCTAGGACCCCCTACCCCCACCCCCCCAGGCCATGGGGCAGCTCTGACCCCCCGTGCCCCCCCAGCCCCGGGACTGCCGGTGCTACGTGCTGCAGGGGTCGGTGCGGGGGGCCCCGGCGCTGGAGCGTGCGGTCGCCCTGTGCAACAGCGTGTCGCAGTGGGTGCAGGTGATGGTGCTGAGCCGGCCCACGGCCCCCCAGCGTGCACGCGTGCTCGCCCAGTTCATCCGTGTTGCACAGGTACCTGGAGGGGGGCACAGGTGGAAGCACGCGTGCGTACACGGGGGGTGGTTTGCACACACGAGTACAGGAAGGGGGGGCCTAGGAAGCGCACACGCGTGGGTGGCCACAGAGGTGTGTGTATGGGTGTGTTTGTACAGAAGAACGTGCATGTACATGGGTGTATAAGGCTGTGTTTGCATGCACATGGACACGTGCCCTGGACACCCTGCACACGTGAGTAACACAGAGGTGCATGCGCATGTACATGGGTGTGTAAGGGTATGTTTGCACATGCATGAGCACATTCACTTTTTGTGCCTGGCACGTGCGAGTGTTCCGAGGTGCATGCATCTACGCAGGTGTGTAAGGATGTGTTTGCACATGTATGGGCACATAAGCATGTGCCCCCCAGCCCAGGCATCTTGCACACGAGTGTTCATAGAAGTATATGTTTGGGCATGCATTTGTGTATGTGTGCGCATACATGTGTGCATGTGTTGGCACGTGCTTGTGTGTGCCTCCCCAGAGGAGCTAACATGCCCCAGGGAGCGTGAACTTGTGTGTGTCAGTAGAGACACACGCATGTGCGTGTGCATGGGAGGGCCTTTACCCTCATGCAAGCACACGAGCGTGTGCGCTCTGGAGTGCCTGCACACATGCATGTCTGCAGAGGTGTGCAAGGGAGTGTGCCCCTGTGCGTGCATGTACCGGTGCTTGCACACGTGCATGTGTGTGCGTGCCCATGGCGGGGAGGTGAGGTCGCGCTGGCATGCCCGGGGGCCCAGGAGGGATAACAACCTACTGCAGCCCCCAGCTAGGGGGAGCTCCTATGGGCAGGGGGGAGGGGGGGGGGCAGTGCCCTGGCGACCTCTGACCCCAACCCCTTGCCCCCAGAGTCTGCGGCAGCTGCAGAGCTTCAACACGCTCATGGCGGTGGTGGGAGGCCTGTGCCACAGCGCCATCGCCCGCCTCAAGGACACGCATGCCCTGCTGCCCCCCGATGGTGCCAAGGTACCCCTCTGCTCCCAGAATCCTTTGCAAAGGGGATGGGGGGGCAGGGGACTGAGCTGTCCCCAAAGCCCTCTGCCCACCCACACTCCCAGAATCCCTTGCAAGGAGCCTGGGTGCCCCCACCAGCCATGCCTTCACTTACAAATACCCCTGTCCCCTCCAGGCTCCCAGAACCCTTTGCAAAGGGGTTGGAGGAGGAAGGGCTCCCCCTCCCCCCACCCTGCACAACTCCCTGAGACACCCCCACACTCCCAGAATCCTTTGTAAAGGGGTGGGGGGGGGTACTCCCCACCCCCATTGGCCCCTGTGCCCCCACATTCCCAGAATCCTTTGCAAAAGGGTGGGGGGTGGGTAGGGGCTGCCCCCCCCAAAGGCTACTGCACCCCCACACTCCCAGAATCCTTTGCAGAGGGGGTTGGGGGCAGGGGCAGGGCTCTCCCCACGCTCCCAGAGTCCTTTGTAAAGAGGTGGAGGGTGGGCACTGCACCCCCACATTCCCAGAATCCTTTGCAAATGGGTTGGGGGTGGGTATGGGTTCTCCCTGCCTCCACAGGCCCCTTCACCCCCACGGTCCCAGAATCCTTTGCAATGGGTGTTGGGGGGCGAGGGCTCCCCCACACTCCCAGAATCCTTTGCAAGGGATGAGAGTGGGGTGGGCAACCTCCCTGCCATGCCACCCTCACCCCCCCACCCCCGGTGGGCACAGGCGCTGGCAGAGCTGACGGAGCTGGTGTCGTCGGGCTGCAACTTCGGGCCGTACCGCCGGGCGTACGGCGCGTGCCACGGGTTCCGCCTGCCCATCGTGGGCATCCTGCTCAAGGACCTGGTGGCGCTGCACGAGGCGCTGCCCGGGCGCCTGCCCGACGGGCGCCTGCCCCTGGCCAAGCTGCACGGGCTCTACCAGCAGGCGCTGGAGCTGCGGGCTCTGCAGCAGGCCGTGCCGCCCTTCGAGGCTAACAAGGACCTCGTGCACCTGCTCACGGTCAGCCCGGCGCGTGTGCGAGCCTATGAAAAGGAGGGGGGCGGGTGCATGAGATGCCAGGTGTGCGAGAGGACGGGGCTGGGTATGCAAGACATGCAAGATGTGCAAGAGAATGGGCAAGGGAACACACCCATTGTGTGTGCAAGGGGTTCGGTGTGCAGGGCTTGCAAGAGGACAGGGCTGGGTGTGCAGGAAGGCAAGCATGCAAGGGGGTGTACCAGGTGTGCAAGAGGATCTGCTGGGCGTGCAAAGGGGTGTGGGTGTGCAAGGCATGTAAGAGGACAGGATGGATGTGCAAGGGCAGCCCTATGAGGTGGAGGCTGGGTGCACAAGAAGGCAAGCATGCATGAGATCAGGGACTGGGCGTGCAAAAGGATAGATCTGCAAGGTGTGTAAGAGGGCAGGTGTGGAAGGTGGCAGGTGTGCGAGGCATGCAAAACGACAGAGGCCGGGCATGCAACAGGGCGGGTTTGCAGAAGGCATGCCAGGGCTTGGTGTGCAAGAGGGTCAGTGTCCAAGACATCTGAGAAGGCAGGGTGGGGCAGGCAAGAGGGCAGGAGTGCAAGGCTGGGCGTGCGAGAGGACTCACGCTCGCTCCCCCCAGCTCTCCTTGGACCTGGTGTACACGGAAGATGAGCTCTATGAGCTGTCGTATGTACGGGAGCCGCGGTGCCCCAACACCCAGGTAATGGGGGGGGGGCGGGAGGGCAGCCCCATGACCCCGTGACCCTGCCCCGACCCCACTTGTGACCCCGGCGATGACCCCCACAGCCGCCCACGCCCCTTAAGCTGCCTGTGGTCGGGGATTGGCTCCCGGATGTGGCCCTGAAGCCAGACCCCAGTACCATCACTAAACATGTGCAGCAGATGGTGGAGGTGAGTGTGGACGCGTGTGCCCCCGGGAGGGGTGTGCATACATCTGCTCCCATGGGGGGTCCACACATCTGCCCCTGTATGCATGTGTGTTGTGGGGGCACGTGTGTATGCACTTCCAGAGTGCATGTGACATGTGCATGTGCTCCCACGTGAGTACACAGGCGTGTGCATTTACATGCAAGAACACATGCATGTGCATGCATGTGCATGCCTACGCATGCACAAAGTGTGCAAGTGTGGGTGCAAATGTTCACATGTGCACATGCGTGCTTGCAAGTATGTGTGTACACATGGATGCCTGTGCATGCAAGTGCATGTGTTCACATGTGCACAGTTCATGTGAGCGCACATGTATGTATGCAGTGTGCCGGTGTATGCACGTGTGGATGCCTGTGCACGTACAGCATGCAAATGCACGGGTATTCACACGTGCATGCATTTCCAGGTGAGCACGTGTGTGCATACGGCATGCCTGTGTGTAAACAGATGCCTGTGCATGTACAAAGTGTGCAAATGCACGTGTTCAGGTATATGCCTGCATGCAAACACACATGCACGCAACTATGCAGCCTCACATGCATGCCTGCATGCAGATGTCAGTGCACGTGTTCCGTTCCTCAGGCACACACACGTAGCCCTGTAGGTGTGTGAGGCATGAACACATGCATACATGTGTGCGAGTGCACCTGGATGCATAGGCAGGGCATGTGCCCAGCCATGCAGGTGGGCACTGGGCTCTCTCACACACCTGTGTATGGTGTGGAAGCATACAGGTAGGGGGGGGGGGGGGGGTGTGTCTCACCTGCCCTCCCACCCAGTGCCCCCTGAGGGTGAAGTGGGGGGCATCAGGGCAGATCCAGGCTGAGCTGCCCCCCCCACCGCCTGCCCCCCCAGTCTGTCTTCAAGCACTTTGACCCCGAGCAGCATGGCGCCATCGCACCCCTCGACTTCGAGCGCATCGTGGGCAGCTTCCCCCTCGCCCCCCGGCCCCCCTCCCACCACGGGTAGGTGCCCGCCTGGGGTCTGAGGGTGGCTGGGGGGACCCGGACCCGCTTTTCTCCCAGCTCTGGGTTCAAGGGCCCGGATGCCTGGGTCCCCCCCGACCCCCTGCCTCAG